TTTTAAGGCCCATTTTGCCACGTAATATTCTGTCCTCCACGTGTAATTTTCTGTTAATTAAAAGAGACGGGAGTGGAGTGAGTGGTGGATGGGTAACAATAAGGGAAGATGAGTGAGCGTTCAGTAACCCGTTGAAGTTGAGTGAGTAAGTGATAACATGTTTAAAGTTGAGTGAGTGTTCATTAAATTAACTCTTTTTCAAAAAGTACACAGAACTTTTGCTTAAATTAAGTTAAAACCATACATTACAAAATATCAATCCATCAGTAAAGTTACTACACTCTACAGCAAAAGGTCATTGCATCAACAGTTCTTTTGTTAAGCCTAGAACGATCTCTGGGGAAATGTATAATCAAATCCATCATATTTTTCCTATATAGATCATCATAACAAGTGTTAGAATATTTATTTTTTTGATTTTGCATAATTCTTTAGATTCTTTGCAATCTTATATATAATAGATCTTTGTGTAAAGATGTCCATCGTATCAGACATATTCTCCTGATTTTCTATGTTTATTTCCGTAATAATTTTATTTTATATATATGTCACAATTTCTTTCTTCTTTATTGTGAGCTATAATATAGAAGATGCCTAGAAAATAAAGCTGCTTTTAAGTACAGTCCGATATGTGAATTAGAACATGTCTGGATAAGCTTAAAAGATTTACTTACTAGTATAAAAGTACTTAAAAGTATCTTTTGTTTTTATTTTCTCTTCTCAGCTGTTTACGGCAAGGGATTTATAGCTCGAGACATGACATTTCGGAATACAGCCGGTGCAAGCAAGAACCAAGCTGTTGCCTTATATTCAGAGTCCGATCAATCAGTTTTCTACAGATGCAGCATTGAAGGCTATCAAGATTCTCTCAATCCACAATCCATGCGCCAATTCTTTCGAGAATGCTTCATTTATGGAACTGTAGATTTTATTTTTGGATTATCAGCCACTGTTATACAGTCCAGTCACATCTTTGTTCGAAAGCCATTGATTGGACAAGAAAATGTCATAACCACCCACTCGAAGTTCATTCCAGGGGAAAATACAGGAATTTCGATACAGAACTGCACCATTCAAGCGGCAGAGGACCTCACCGGCGTTAGGACTTATTTAGGCAGGCCTCTGACTAATTTCGGCATTGCGGCATACTTGGAGAATGAGATAAATAACTTGATTGATCCACAAGGGTGGTTGCCGTTCTTCAACAATAAGCCTCCGCCGGAGACTGTGATTTTTGTGGAGTACAATAATAGGGGCCCTGGTGCAATGACTAGTCGTAGGGTGAATTGGAAAGGTTTAAAAGTTAAGCCTTCTAGAGTAGAAGCTAGTCGATATACTGTGAGGTCTCTTATTAATGGAGAACAGTGGCTCCCGGCTACAGGGGTACCTTTTATATTAGACCTCTAAATGCAACTTATTTCGAAGTTAATCTGCTTATTACAATAAGACTATATCGTTAATAATTGATTCTTAATCAAGGTTTCATTCACTTGTACCACAAAAAGTTATTTTGTGTCATTTAAATTTCATTACATCCCTTTGTCCACTTTTATCGAATACCTTACTAGAAACCTCTTGTGGCGCCCATGTAACTATAAATTTCGTTACCATGCTATTTTCACTACTCAGATGTACATAAAACATGTTAGAAATATGAAAGCATATGTCATGAAATGAAGTTGCGACTCAACTGAAATCTCACGTAAATCCAGGGACCTAAGCGAAACCCTGCTTAAATCTTTTTTTTTTTTTTAAAGAATGGTAATCAAAGAGGAAAATAAAATAAAATATCGCCTTTCAGCTAAAGACTCCCATATATGGTTACAAAAGGTTTACAACTTTTATTCATCAGCTGCGAAACAATATTGCTACTGCAATATCGAATATAGAATATGCCACACATTTATTGCCTTATATAATCATCTATCAGATTTTGACAAGAAAAAATCCAACAAGGATTCTTTGCCCACTATACTTATATTCATGTCCTTAGCATTTACGAATTGATTATTCATGCAAAATCCCCCGAGATATATATTAATAATATATGGATCACACTAGTAGCATGTTTGATCTGCTTAATAACACAAGTATAGGTGCTTTTAAACAGGGCGAAACGTTCTCTAAGGACACTTGGGCTTATTTCCGTGTGTTCGTTGATTAGCGTAGCAGGGACACACATTTTTGTTGCCATAAGTTCCTGGCGGCACGCAGTGGCATCTCTCGCAACAAGTTTTGCATGCGCGATGGCACACATTCTTTCTTGATGACTTGCTGCATCTTCTTGTGCATTCATGACTGCAATCTGTGCAAATTAATCATAAATTTGGAATTTGTATTTAAATGTATGTGATTCTTCGGAATGAAACACCAAATTATATAATATTACTGACTGATTTTTGGATGTCGGCTTTTCTTGAGAAGGCCTCCTAAGTTTCCTGGTTCATCTACCTGAATTAACATGAATTACAAAAAAATATTTTGGATTAAACCTTAATCCCTTATGGACCAATATGAACCAAATAAAAATAAAGACGCGCAACTGCAAAGGTGCAAATACACCCTAAACGTGAGGTCTACATCGCTATGACTGTGAAGTGTACAAGGTTTTCTTAACACATCCTACATATTCCAAGCGGCCCTCGTAAATTCATTTATATAAGTGAAGAGTATGATCAGACTCTACAGGGTTGAACACAAGAAGTGGAAGTAATTTACCAGAGTAGGAGACTCTGCAGCATCAAAGGTTAATGCCTCTGCAAAACCCTAACATAGCATTTCACAGAATATAGAGTTAAACCAAGTCATTACTGCCCAGATTTCGCAGAAATTCAACTGTAATATACCTGTAGAAGGAGAATGGCAATGAGGAAAAATGACGAGAATTTCATGTTTGGGAAATTCAGATGAAAGTTTTGTGACTGAATGCAAATTCTTGATTGCTGGTGCTAGCTATTTATTGACGATCAGATTATTAATTTCCTTTGTAAACTTTTGAGGTTCACATGCACTGATTTTTAGGAAAATCACAAGCTTTGGGTGGTAGAGGAAAAGATTGAGCAAGTTGAATGAGTACAAACTTTTTAATTACTAGGAACTTTTTGTCACTTTAGCTAGGCCAGCTTTTGCTGTGCATGATGAGAAAACAGCTGGTGGATTCTTATAGATAAAGGAAAAAATGGTTGGTCCCCTAATTCACAAGGAATGGTATTCTAAACCAAATCTTTGTACGTCAATATTGGAGTAAATTGGAAAGCAAAGTCGGTGACCCTGATTCATCATGATCGTATGATAGATAGGGAAAAATAATAAATATTTTATGGTGGTGGTAAAATTAAGTATTAAAGATAAAGAATCTATCGAAATACTTAAAAAAATTTACTTTCTAAATTTATAGATGCTTTTTAAATAGCTAAATATACTTTTTTAAAAATAGAGAGTTTCCTGAAGATACTCTCAAGTACACTCTCAAAAAGAGTAAGAGGCGCTAGCTCCATATTTCCTAGTGTATATAGTTGGGGATGGACAAACCTATCGAACCAAAACGGCCAGTTCAATCTGGGAGAATAATTAACCAATGGATTTCTAGTCCTTGACAAGAATTAAAATGGATTTTTCATGAGTTAGACCAACGCAAGGGAAGCGTTCGTATTCGTCGGCCTTTAGAAATGGTACATCAATTCTTTGCATTCCTCGAAGGTGCGTAGTGATTCTTATTGGTTCTAAATTTAGTTGGTTCTCTTCGGAGCAAGAATTGAATTGAATTTGAGGTTAATAGCACTAAAAATCCAAACCAGGTAATGATTTTAACACTCTTTTATGTATTCTTTTGTACCACCTTTATTTCACCTTTATTTTTAATAATGTTTTGTAGCATTGCTAGCTGGAATAAAAATATTCATAATTTTCTTAAATATGAAATTCAGCAAAGTTAATCAGGCCAAGTGAACGCTAGAAACATGTCAAAGACGAATGATAGCCCAGTAACACAAAGGCCAATAGAAAAGGCTTGAAATCCCAAGGATACTATACTGGGGAACTTACACAAATACCCTTATTTTTGGATCATTTTGAAAAATCATGATAAATATGTATTAAAAAGCAAATAATGTAAATTTCAACCAATAAACCGTAAAGATTACGGTAATTTCAAAATGAAGAATCAATTCCAGTAGCTCCAAAATTCCAACTCATTCAAGCTCCAAATCAAGCAAAATCTAANAATTACATAATAATAAAAAATATTATTTTTTCCAAAAATGGAAAAAATTGAGATAATCATGGATCTTAATTCTCCTAATCATCAGGATCATCCCCCAACAAATGGAAATCAAATCCGAATTTATTTGACTAAAATATTATCAAAACAAAAATTACCATAAATGACGAAAACGCATAATTGAAGGTCTAACGGTGGAGTTTGCCCAAAATTTGACGTGCATCAGGGCCAAAGGTTCTGAATTGTGATCATTGTCCCGTTTCCACTCAAATTAGACTAACAATTTGTCAAAAACGAACAAATCCGAAATTAAATAGAATTATTATTTTGCTTTCATCATTCTCCACGGGTTCAGAAAAATTCGCCCTCGAATTTGATGGGAGTAGAAACCTCATCATTATCAAAATTATCACCACGAAATGACGGCTCTGGTGGTAATCTATCTGGAAGCTCTTCCGGGAAGTCCTCATGAAATTCCTTTAGCAATGATTGAATCATGTGAATGACCTCCTGCTCACTGTCAACTGACCAGTATCCTTCCATATTTGTCTCGAACTTCATTCTGGTCAGTAAATTAACGTCATCCCCAACTGTTTTTATTGAGCCCTTATCTGGAAATAACACAATTTTCTTTTCCCCAATAGTATACATCGACTGGAAGAGATTAGTACGCAACCAATCAGTGTTATTTTCCGGGGAAGTCAGAAAACTCCGCCTAACCACCAATGCCTGACCCACATCACCAACCACAAACTCCTCATTCTCTGCTGCTTCTTCTACACATTCACTGTCAAATACAGACGGACCGTAATAATCAAACTCTACCTTCTCCATTGCTTCTTCAGTGTCTTCATTGTCAAATACAGGCGGACATTTATAATCAAACTCTTCCTCCTCTGTTGCTTCTTCAATATCTTCATTATCAAATACAGGCGGACCTTCATAATCAAACTCTTCATCCTCTGTTGTTTCTTCAATGTCTTCACTGTCAAATACAAGCAGACTTTCATAAACAAACTCTTCCTCGTCTATTATTTCTTCAATGTCTTCAATTGTGACATTCTGAATATTATGATCACAGTGTTGTTGGATTTCCTCAATCGGAACCTGCCTACGACGACCACGACCTCTAGGTGCATGTTGTTGCGGCATAAGTGTAACAACTTGTTGTGTCAGCAACTCCACTTGTTGACGTAACTGTGCGATTTTATCACATCTATGTATCTCCTTTACTAGGACTTCACGGGCTTCTTGACGTCTCCTTGACGGCATGGTGAAGGAACACCTTCGGCTCTGCTACCACTTGATGCAGCGGAAGATTATAGGAAAGACAAAAATCTTACAAAAAGAATTACAATCAAGAGAAATTCAAGAGAAAAA